GAAAAATTTTGTTTTGGGGGAAAACCCCGCTCAGTCTTGTTGGGTTAGTTATAGAAGGTAGTAGCAAGCAGTTCTTCATAGTGTTTGTGAAATCAGCTATTGGAGAGTCATTCATTTGGATGAGGTTTATGTTGAAGTCTCCTGTAAGTATCACAAGGTGTTTATTCAACTCTGAGTGAGTTATCATGTTTCTAAGGAGGGGAGGAGGGGTAGGGGTTGTCCTAGGAAAGGATAAAGGGAGGGGATAAATGTGGTTTTATGTGCAAGGGGTCTGGACATGCAGCAGGCATGTGTGAGCATGTTTAATAGGAGTTTTTGGAACCTGATGAGCTGTTAGAGTGTGAGCAGGGTAATATTTTGTAAAGGAATTCAGGGAAACCAGTTAGCTGGACTTGAGACCTGGAGAAGGGAAGTACAATGTCTGCACTTAATGGAGGGATCTGGGATATTGGCTCTTTGGCATGACATTTAAACTGTCATATTTGGACACCTCTGCAAAGACAGTGCTCATGTGTGAATGATGGTGAAAGTGTTGAATGATGGTGTTTCTTTCTGTTTTGGGGTCACCCTGCCTCAGTGGGATATGGCAAATTTTATAATAAAAAAAATGTATTTCTTTTTTTAATGCATCGTCCATATCCCACCAAGGCAGGTGGCCTAAAATGAATAGCAAAAGTTTTTCTTTTTACATTTAGTAATGTACACAGGAGAAGGGGTTACTAGTCCCTTGCTACCAGCATTTTAGTTGCCTCTTATGACACACGCAACTGAGAGAGGAAGAATTCTTCTTCACTTTCCCATGGAATTTTATATGTTATATTAAATTTTTGAAACTCCATGGGAAATAGAGAAGAATCCTTCCTCTTTTAAGTCATGCATGTCGCAGGAGGCAATTAAAATGCCAGGAGTATACATTACTAAATTTAAAAAGAAAAATTTTTGTTTCCTTTCTTTCAGGTATCCTCCCTTGGTGGGAGATGGTCAGTGTGATAAAAAAATTACATCAGGAATTATTTTATAGAACAAAGTAAAGACTTATTCTTACCCTTTCAAAGAGGTCCAACACTTGACTAGGATTAAGAAATTCAACAATATTTGATAAAAGTTGATCATCTAGTTGCTTATTGTACTCCATCGCTGCATCAAACTGACCTGTACACACCAAATACAAATAAAAGTTACAACATAAAATAGAATGACTAACTGTACTCCATTGCTGCATCAAACTGACTTGTACACACCAAATACAAACAAACCCTAAGTTAAAAGGACACAAGTGCAACTAATGTGACATTTAATTGTGGCAACGTTTCGCTCTCCAGGAGCTTTATCAAGCCATTACAAACAATACATGGACACAGAGGGTATATAAAGGCTCAGAGTGAGGTGCAATACTAGTGAGGTACCATTTCGATGTTCACTAGTGGTAGTTAGTAGTAGTAGTAGTAGTGACAAAAGTATACAATATGGTAGAGCAATTAATTCGTACATGAGTAAAGGATATAAAAGCTATTACTTGGGTAACATAAAAATAGGTTGGACAAATATAGACTGGAAAGAGGCAGCTTGTTTCAGTGTTCACTCTCTGTAATGTGCTTTGTGTAGTATAACAGGAGAGACTATGTGATGGCAGGGTTTACTGTTTTCAGGAGGATTCTTGCTAAGACTTCGGAGATGGTGAAGCTGCCGTTGTTTTGTTTAATTGTATTCGAAACAGTGATCAGTGCTGATTCGAGGCACTTGCGTCTGCGGAAATTAGTTTCTTTGATCACTAATTGGGCGTCTCTGAATTTCATGAGATGATTGGTGGAATTTCGGTGTTGTACACAGGCGTTGTTCAAGTTAATCGTTCCTACATGCGTAAATGTGTTCATTGAGGCGGGTGTCGAGGTTTCTTGCTGTTTCACCTACGTAAATCTTGTCACAGCCTCCACAGGGTATAGTGTAAACTCTTGCATTGACTGGTTCGTGGTGCTTGGATTTTGTCCTGGTTAGATCCTTTATTGAAGTGCTAGAAGCGATGGCGACTCTGGTGTTAGCTTGTGAAAGTAATTTTGAAACGTTCAGTGCAACCTGGCTGTTGGGAAGAATTATAACTTTGTTGGGAGTGGTGTTGGTGCGTGGAGAATTAATGATCTGAAGAGCTCTTTTCTTGCAGTCTTTGATGAAAAAGGAAGGAAAATGTAACTCAGTGAATGTTTGGTGAATGTATGTACATTCCTCGTCAAGAAACTCAGGACTACAAATTTGGTATGCTCAACAGCATTCGTAACCTCTCCATCCGTAACAAGAAACTAAGCAGTTTGGATTTGACTTCCCTCTTCACAAAAGTACCTACCAAAAAAGCCATCGAGGTTCTACGACGTAAAGTCAATCAGGACCTTAATCTTCCTCTACCTCCCGGAGATTTTGTTGACTTGATTGAACTCTGTGTTAATTTCAACTGTTTTTCTTTCAATAACAAGCTCTACAAACAAACCTACGGCATGGGAATGGGGTCCCCCATCAGTGCCGTCTTAGCCAACTTATACATGGAACACCTAGAGTCCGAACACTTCACCAACATCATCCCTTCAAGTGTCACTTGGTTACGTTACGTGGACGACGTCCTCGTAATAACTCCCAAACGTTTTGATGTACGGAATCTTCAGGCAAGGCTCAACGCAGTTGAACCGGCGATCCAGTTTACACTAGAAGAAGAGTCCAATGACAAGGTACCTTTCCTCGACGTCCTCATTCACAAAGTAGACAACAACCTAAGATTTCAAGTTTATCGGAAACCTACCAATAAAAGTAATCTCACACACTTCTATTCCAGTCAAGATACCAAGACCAAAAGAGGCATCATCATCGGGTTTTTCCTAAGAGCATACCGAATTTGTAGTCCTGAGTTTCTTGACGAGGAATGTACTACATACATTCACCAAACATTCACTGAGTTACATTTTCCTTCCTTTTTCATCAAAGACTGCAAGAAAAGAGCTCTTCAGATCATTAATTCTCCACGCACCAACACCACTCCCAACAAAGTTATAATTCTTCCCAACAGCCAGGTTGCACTGAACGTTTCAAAAGTACTTTCACAAGCTAACACCAGAGTCGCCATCGCTTCCAGCACTTCAATAAAGGATCTAACCAGGACAAAATCCAAGCACCACGAACCAGTCAATGCAGGAGTTTACACTATACCCTGTGGAGGCTGTGACAAGATTTACGTAGGTGAAACAGCAAGAAACCTCGACACCCGCCTCAATGAACACATTTACGCATGTAGGAACGATAACTTGAACAACGCCTGTGTACAACACCGAAATTCCACCAATCATCTCATGAAATTCAGAGACGCCCAATTAGTGATCAAAGAAACTAATTTCCGCAGACGCAAGTGCCTCGAATCAGCACTGATCGCTGTTTCGAATACAATTAAACAAAACAACGGCAGCTTCACCATCTCCGAAGTCTTAGCAAGAATCCTCCTGAAAACAGTAAACCCTGCCATCACATAGTCTCTCCTGTTAAACTACACAAAGCACATTACAGAGAGTGAACACTGAAACAAGCTGCCTCTTTCCAGTCTATATTTGTCCAACCTATTTTTATGTTACCCAAGTAATAGCTTTTATATCCTTTTACTCATGTACGAATTAATTGCTCTACCATATTGTATTACTTTTGTCACTACTACTACTACTACTACCACTAGTGAATATCGAAATGGTACCTCACTAGTATTGCACCTCACTCTGAGCCTTTATATACCCTCTGTGTCCATGTATTGTTTGTAATGGCTTGATAAAGCTCCTGGAGAGCAAAACGTTGCCACAATTAAATGTCACATTAGTTGCACTTGTGTCCTTTTACTTTACATATTGTCGGTAATTCTACCAACTTTATTACAAACCCTAAGTTACAATATATAATAAACTTAAAATTTCAATACTCTTGGTACATTTAGTTAATATGAAAATCATGAAAAGCATGAGTCCTGTACTCCATCTACCTCTGAGTCTCAGAGGAAAACAAATGTAGGCCGTGTGTACTATATTACAAATGAAAATGAACTAGCAAACTTCCTTTGAGATGCAAACCTTACAGAGTCTGACTAACATTAGTGACCAAATCTTTATACTACATTAGTGTATGTTATTATTCCGTTAGTGAACTAATCCCTGTACTATCACTTCCCGGATAGTATTTACTACCTCACTGTCTCATGTTTCTCACACAGTTCCTTGTGTGACTCAAACTGTGAAACCTTTCCAGAAGTCCCATTTACAGTTTTATTGTTAATAATATATGTATTAATATCTGTATTACCATTCCTTGTACTATCTTTTACTAGATAGTACCAACTACCTCATACACTATTTCTTTTTGTGCTCTTAATTGCTTAAAGTTTATACTATAAGGCAAATCTTACCCCCAGATTATTTTTATATCATAGTTACTATCAATCGATTAAATTTTGTTTACCACTATTTAATTTAGTCCCTTTACAAATTTCACAATATTCTCCAGAAATAATTATCTACATAAAGGTCCGTCAACACAAATCCGGCAATCAGTTATTCGGTTCCTTCAGTTATTCGGCACTAATTTTGGCTAGCATAATTTCAAATTTCCAGGGTGGCCACACCAACCTGCTGGTACTGTTTGGTGGCGCTACTTGCTGCATAAGTCATTTCAATTTCTTTTTCTCCATTTATTGTTATAACCTGCTTACTTTTAGCCCTAGCCATTCAAATTCAAATTCAAATTCAAAATTTATTCTCTATAAGGATTACAATGCTGAGTTTACAGAATTTGGTTATTGTGTGGTTTACATGTAGTAAAATAATAATTACAGAGTGTACCACTAGAACACCTAGCATGGCTAGGCATTTCAGGCAGACTTAAATTAAATCTTAAGTTTAAAATATTACAAAATTATGAGGTTAGTTAGTATTATGGCTAAGTGACTAAATACTAATTTGTGAGTTTAGCAATGTGAATGCTTTTGTTTGGGCACTATACATAGTTTCAGTATTGGAGTAACACAGGCCAACTTATGACTAGTTAAGATTCATTATTTTGAGACTGAGATTGATATTTCTGTTTATGGTCAAATGGGTGAGTGAGTGTAAGTGTTACCACCAGGTGGTATTCGTGTAATCAGTTGACAGGGTGTATCAGGGAGATAAGATGTTTTCTGATGGTAGTTTCGAAGGTGATGAATGTGTCTGCAGTTTTAGAATTTTCAGGTAGGGTGTTCCGATTTTAGGGCCTTTGACATACATTGAATTTTTGAAAAGGTTTAGTCGGCATGGGGAAGGGCATAGAGATGTTTGTGTCTGGTGTTGTGCCTGTGGGTTCTGTCGCAACTATCAAGAAAGCGTTTTAGGTCAAGGTTAATAGGGAAATTTTTAAGGTCCTGTAGATGTAGATTGCACAGTAATAAGTGTGGATTTACTGAACAGGGAGTAAGTTTAGACTATAAGAGTGGGGGGTGTGTTGCCAGGGATGGGATTTAGTGATTTTTTCTTACTGTGGCTTTTTGTTGGGTTATTATTGGCTTTAGGTGTGTTGCTGCAGTTGAACCCCAAGCACAGATAGCAGAGGTGAGGTATGGATTTAATAAGTGAAGGTACAGTGTGAGAAGGGCAGTTTGTGGCACGTAGTATCGTATCTTGGAGAGGATCCCAACCGTTTTGGATACTTTTTTGGCTATGTGGTGGATATGGGTGCTGAAGTTCAGGTTACTGTCGAGGTATAGGCCTAGGAATTTGCCCTCATTATGCCTGGCAATTAGAGTGTTGTCGATCTTAATGTTAATTTGCGCATCTCCTGCCCTGCTACCAAACATAATATAGTAGGTTTTGTCAGTGTTAAGTGTAAGTTTATTGGCTGTCATCCAAGTCGATATTTTGATCAGCTCCTCATTAAAAATGGTGTTGAGGGTGGCAAGATTGGGGGTGAGAGATGACAAAAGGGTCGTGTTTTCAGCAAGGGGAAATGAGGTTCAGGTGTTGAGATACGTTTGGAAGATCATTGATGTATTTTGAGGAAGAGCAGGGACCAAGGACACTTCCCTGCGGAACCCAGTATCAAGTGGCTGTGTTGTTGATGCTGTGTCTTTAAGGGTGACATAACTGATACTATTAGTAAGGTAAGAT